TTGAGTAATTCAGCTAAATAAAAACCTCTCGCACATCGCGCTCTTTCATGTTTTTTGTAAGCTTGGCAATGGCATGGTTTAGATTTTTTTATGGTATCAAATTCCATCTGATTCATGGTTTTGGTATCAAAGAAAGATCTTATGAATCTGGTGTCAGTCTGCCTCGTTAACACGTCGTTTCAGTGATTATATCAGGAAAAAATATATTTAGAAATGGTTGATTCTAGTTATTCGAGGGAAAATAAAATTTTAAACTGTCTAAAAAATATGCCTGGAAAATTTATTGCTGTAATAATATAAAAAATTGCTTATGTGTCGGCCGAATTACTAAATCTGTCACCAAAATGAACATGGATTATATTTCGCGCTTTGAAATTCTACCGTTAGTTGTACATCAGATTTTAGAAAAATCTTGGAGCCACCTGGACTACAGCCAGTAGTTGGCTGCTGCAGCTGCTCTCTAAAACGTGCTTTATATAGAAAAAAGTTCTACTTCGCACTCTATTATTTAGAAAATTATACCATGGATGATTCTCTTAGCAACTAGAATTCTCTCAGTATAATTCTTAAGTATAATACAATAGAATTCTCTCAACATTGTAAAATTTTGCTAACATGGCCATCCATTCCTAGCGCTAACAGAAAACTTTTCGGGTTAAATTCAGCGGGAGTGTTTCATTTGTCAACGCATTCAGGAGAGCGGGCAGATTTTTCTTCAATTTACTGCGCGTCTTGTTAGTGAGAAGCTGTGGAGTCTTTGGTGTTCAATCATTTTTAGGTTACGAACGAAGATCAAACAAAGTGACGACCTCTTCTAACCGTGAAATTGTTTGTTCAAAGCTTCTGCCTATTTCAGGGTAATACGAAAAGAGTTTAATTTTTATAATTTTGTCTTTTCATTGCCAGAAATACGGATAATTATGAGGTTTGGTCCATTTTGAATCTTAAAAATTATAATGTAATTCAAAAATTTTCATTCGTAATTTCAGTTAACTAATGCATGAGCAGGATATACAAAATAATTTGTGACATTAATTATTTTATTTATACTTTGACGTAGTGTTCGGAATACCTAAACAGACGATCAGAAAAAAATTTAAAAACCCATTAAATGCCGAAAATTGTTTTGACAAGAAATGTTAACAGAAAATCCCTGTTTAAAGAATACAAACCACCATTAATTCTTTACAAAGTCAAACTATCCTCCATCTGCTAATGATTTTATTGAACTTTTTATCGATTCTTGGCGTTGAAATAATCAAGGAAAATTTATACCCTCGTACTGGAAAATTTCGAAAGTATGATTCCCTATCGTTCAGCTGCTGCGCTTGATAAAGAGCATTCTAAAACCTTAATATAAATACGTAAACTCGTAACTTGCAAAAATAGGCTAACAATTAGGTCGTTTAATACAGCAAATTACTTCTTAAAATATTTACAACACTAATTATGAGACACTTTAATATCTGAGGCAGGACTTTTCATATGAACACTGTAATTAATTAACACACGTACAGTTTAAATAATAGTTTAATATTGTAATCACAATGAAAATATGCCCTGGAGCTTCATCGACAATTCGCAAATGCAGTCCAAAGTTTAAATTACGTTTCGAGCTCAGGTGCTTGAGTTTTGCTGCACATCTCCGAGTTGCATTTGAGGCTCCCGGCAANCGTTTTTTGCTCGTGATAAAAAGAAATGTTTTATTATAATTGCATAAGTAAAAAAATAATAAAAAACGTTTTAGTATGTATATTATGTATGAAATATTCATAACTTATTTTCTAAATTAAAATATATGTTTTCTACTATGTAATCTTCGCATTCATAACCTGAATACGTTTTGACTGATATCAGTGTAAATTACTGTTAATACTAAATTGCTTCCATATACATTCTCCGGAATGAAATTTGGTTTGGAGAAACAGGCAACAAAAGCAATTATATTTAGTTTTATGCATTACGACGATGACTGACATTCTTATGGTATGAGCCTGAACGTGCGTACAGTTCTTGCGCGTGCCCAAAATTAACCTCAAGGCAGAAAATAATTGTTTTCTGGAAAGTTTTCTTATTCCAAAGGATCCTAGCCTGGCCTTGTGTTTACATAAACTTTATCATAATTTACGTAAACTCCCAAGTGCTAGGCTGGCGTAAAACCTCTCATAATAATTCAAGCGCGTATAGTGAAGAGCCTCCCATAATTCTTTGAGATGAATTTTTCACTTGACTGGTCAGGCGAAACGAAAACGAATTGCAGCATCTGAACGTCGCTCGCATTCTTGAGAGGCTGCTGGCTGTGCTGGTCAAACATTGTAGGAATGTTTGTTAGAAGCCAGAAGTGTAATGTTCAATTTCGTATCATCTGTCTTCATATTACTTCATGGGGCCATACTTTCAAAACTCGCTAAGTTAGCGTAAATACTTACGTTCTATTTTCTTGTCTATAATTGGTGGATTTTGCTTGAAAGGCTGTCAATGATTGGCTGATGAACTTACGATCTCTTAATTTTTTTGAAAGTATAGGCCCACTGATCTTGAAGTTCAAGCTGCTATGAAGGACTCGCGTTTTCTGAGGAATTAAGTTAGAAAGTCTAGACTCTAGAGCATGGTTTGTAAAAAACTTCCTTTACTTCTCCGCATCGCGATGTCATCAGGTAGCGTGAAATATAAACATTAATTATTATTTCTCCGTACTTCATGAGATTGCCTTGCACTTTCAGTAAATTTTCAATGTCGTTCAAGCCCGAGAAAGTCGCTGCTTTTATTAATACATTAATTAGTTACATGATTGCGATCACATAATGAGCACTATGCATACGCGTATTCAAAATTTATTTGTTTGATGAAAAAAAAGTATTCAAATTTTCCACTTTTCACTTGACTTCATGCGCGACTTCACTTTCACTTGACTTGACTTGAATTTTTTCAGTTTCAAAATTTATTTAGGTAAAATTTAATGAACGTTGAGCAAACATGATTTTTGCCGACTTTCTATTGTTTTAAAGTCGAAATCATTTTGTTAAAATCGCAAATGATGCGCAACCTGAGTCGAATTTAAGTAAATGTGTTTCCTTTCAACAGTGGAATGTGGTATACGTGGGCGGCAGAGCTTGAATAGAATTGTTCCACGGTGTTAACTCCTCAGTCGCGGAAATTGTCCATTCTGTGCAGGACCGGATTTGAATTCGGAAGCATTATTTAATGGAGTTGTTAATAAGCGCAATGCTTACGTACGTTACGCTTATTAGTTGACGTTTTTCAATTAGTTATTTAAGGTAAAAGAACCTTTCCTGGCTTAACCTAACTTTAGTAAAATAGTGAAAAAGTGTCTACAAACCATTTATTCACACCTCTAACCCTAATTCCAACCCTAACCTAACGAGATTTTCGTTAATTAGCATGTCGCATAATAGCGTTCATCTTTTCTTTTTTTTTGTGTCGCACTAGTAGCAAATACTAATCATAGGTAGATTCTGCGAAATTGGTACATTCCGAGACAGTTACAGTACATTGGTACATTCCGAGACAGTGGCTAAAATATACCAAAAATGTCGCGCTATTGTCGAAAGTATGAGCAACGTTTTGATCGAACAATTCCGCGACACGGTTTTGGAACTGTACGGAACTGTTTTGGACACTGTTTTGGACACGGAACTGTAAAGAAACGTGTCGCAAAATAACCATGCATATCAATAATATATATTACCATTTATATATAGTATAGTAATTAATTGGGATAACATGGGTTAGTTCCATTCATATGGTAGTATATAACAAACAAATATTCAGACAGTAGAAGCCCATTCATTCATATTATGAAAGACAGATCCAGTTCTTTGCATATATCTATTCTCACCAGGGTTAAACTGAAGCCTCACCTCGTTGTGGTGCCGTTGAGGACATTCAAATAATCAATTTTTTATGTTCAAATTCTCGCGGGGGTTAAACTGAAGCTCACCTCGCTGTGGTGTCGTTGAGGACAGTGGAGTTGTGCGTCCATACAAGTGGAGGAGGATGGGGCGGCGCCAGCAGCCAGCAGGTGAGCAGCAGGCGAGACCCCGCGTGGAGGTAGACTTCGTGTGGTCCCGCTATGTGGGCCCGACCCTCTGTCACCACGAGAGTTCATACCAAGAAAATTAGAACGAACTTGACGAAATTTATTCTTCGTTATAAGTTAGTTTGTGCTCTGCTGGAGATTTAATGAATGAGCATCTTCAGTGCCAATAAAATGGGTGAAATAAAGACAATTTTAATACATGATTATTTTTCATTCCATGGTCTACGGATGTTCTTGCTAATTACCATATGTATTCATAGGCGTTAAATATATAGATATGAGGCCTGCGAGCTTCAAAAGAAAAGTATTTCCAGGAAATTAACATTAATTGATTTGAGTGCACGTTCTGTGATGAGTGTGAAGTCGCCAAGGCGAGATGACAGACTAAGTTGCTCTGAAAAAAAAACGCTCACGCCATCGGGCAAACTCAAAGAGATGCTTGAAATGAGGTACATGTATATTGTACCTCGGCTTCCAAATTCATGAAAAAATCCGGCAAGTGAGCATTCACCAACGTATTGTGCTGTAGTTGTACAATAGGTTGTATTGTATTGTATCGCTGTTCAATACGTTTTATTGTACAATGTATTGTATTGTATATGCTTTAGCTTAGAATATTAATCGAAAATTTTAAATTGGTGTATATAGGATTAGGTTAATCTGTATTGAAATCATTTATTTGCCTTAATCGCATGTTAACCAGGAATTTAACATTTAAAATCAAAGACAATACCACCAAAATTCACCATATCTTTATAAGAGAAAAATCTGTAAAATCTATCATATCTATCATCTAATGAAATCTTTTAATTCTGTTTTTAGAAAATCGACATTTATCGGCTTAAGCACCGGCAAATTTAGTTTTTGTTCCTTTCGTTTCCAATTAAATAGGACCCTAACATTAATAAACTGCTTTCGCATTTACCCTCCTTCCTAGCCATGCACTCTGAATTTGAATTTTTGCACAGTATCTTTACACAAAATGGCTTTCCATCGCACCTGGTATTTACGGAAAATTAAAAAGTTTATGTCCAGGCAATATACTCAAGTTGTTCCCAAGTGTGACTATAGAAACGTGGTTTACTGTTCTTTTCCCTATTTTTGCCCCGCATATGAGACTATATGAAAGGAATTAAAAGTTTTATTCGCTAAATACCTTCAGGACGTAAATCTTCATGTGTTGTTAGTTAACAATTTTAGAATCGGCTCGTTTTCAGGTATAAGGATACCCTCCGTCTTCTTATGCGATCGTCACTAGTTAACAGATATAGTTGTGCGCAGTGCGCATCAGCGTACGTTGGTATGACGTCTCGCAATTTCTATACTAGGCTGGCTGAGCATAAGGGCAGGAGTTATAGAACGGGGAACCTACTTGCACATCCACCTCATTTTTCTGTACGTGTTCATGCCATGTAGTGCAACACCTCTGTATGATAGTGATTTTAAAGTTCTTTCTTCCACATCGGGTGTTACTGATCTACGAATTTTAGAATCCCTGAATATATTCAAACATAAGCCTTGTCTGAATGCCGCATTTAGTCCTTCCCTCTTGAAATAGTAAAAGATAGGCCGTTTACTTGCGTTTATTTCGTGTCTCATTTATTTGTTTTCCGTTTTAATACTTGTCAGATTTTACTTTACTAATCGATTGTACTTGTGTTGCTAGGACTGAACTTCTTCTGAACTGAACTTTGTGTTATGAACTGACGATGGAGCTGGACTCTGAAACGTTTTTCTCTTATAAAGATATGGTGATTTTTTGTGGTATTGTCTTTGTCTTTAAATTCTTAGGTTCATCTGCTACTAACATATTATACGATCTTACTGAAAAGTTTTATCCTTTCCTTCTGGTTGAAAATGAGCTATTATGCTTCCGCAAAATCTTTAAAATGAAATAAAATGCACCGAAGCATTTGGAAAAATGACGCATTACTGATTTCAGTATTGGCATCGACCACTCATGATAATTTTTACAGAGTTTAATCAAATTTCTGAAGCAAGCGCCAAATTGATTGTGAATTAATTAAACTTCCTAATGCCTTTCTTTCTACATTTGGTTTCTGGAATAATTATAGAACAAATGGAAACAATGAAGGGCAGGAAAACCCCTTCACACAAGTCTCAACAACGAAGTCTAACCTTGCAGGGTGGAATACCTTGCTGCAGTAATTACAACAGAAGAAATAAAAACAAAGCGAATGATGAAAATTCTTTTGCAATATTCTCACCAACAACGTGAAGCCTGAAATGGTGGAATAGCTTAATGGAGAAATTAATACAGAACGGAAATAAGGCGAGGGATGAAAACATTTTTACACAATACTCACCGACGACGTGAAGCCTGACAGGGTGGAATAGCTTAATGACGAAATTAATAGAGATTATAGAACAAACGAAAACAAGGCGAGGGATAAAAATACTTTCACAAAATACTCACCAACTACGTGAAGCCTGACTGGGTGGAATATCTTGGGCCTGGTGTTGACCTGACACTGGTAGACTCCTTCGTCCGCTTGTGTGACGTCACTCAAGTGAAGATCCCATACGGCGGCTGCACCTTTATTGTAGCCTTCCACCTGACCGGCGTGTGCAGAAAAAGTTGAGCTAACTTTTGCCCAGGCAATTCATGTAACTTTGTAAGAAGTTGTACGGGTTTATGGAGCCCAGCGTTGACTAGACCAAAGTGGAGTTCTATGCTAAGTTTCCGAAACAAAAGTTCGGCCTAGCTTGGCAATAAGAAATTTTCCCTTATGTATGGATTAATAAAAATTGAGATATTAACGACCTCAGGCCTTTACTAAAAATTTAATTATACTAAAAATTGAAACAATAAAACATCAGTCTTCTGCATAGACATTTAAATTAAAAAATTAATAACTACTCAGCGTTACACCGTGTTGACTTGTCTCCAGGGGCCATACTTTCAAAATAAGTTAAGAGATCAAAAGATCATCAATCAATCATCGACGGCATTTCAAGCAAAATCCACCAATCATAGACAAGAAAATCGAGCGTATGTACTTACGTTTACTTAGCGAATTTTGAAAGTATAGCCCCTGATCTTCGAACCACATTTGTAACGGAATTCTACGACATAGATGTCGGCAATGAGAAATATTGTTTGTCCTTATTACTGTTCCAACTTACGGAGAACCGTTTGTCGGTGGTGAACGTGATGGCATTAGTGGTGAGAACCTGAAGATCGTTTTGACGAATCCATGAAACCTGGCATGAAAAACAATTTATGAACGCCAAATTGAGATTATAAGGCGATAAGAAAAGCGAGAGAAAGAAAATCATGTAAATTTTCAGTATTTATCTGAAGTAAAAAATAGAGCTCCAAATAATATAAGATGGCAACTATGAAAAAAGTATTTGCAAATTTCTTCAGTTTATCGTTATATTATGCTGACATGAAAACTTCACTGATGATCATTGCCCTGACAATTTCAGTTTTCATTAATCAAATCCCTTACAATGAGCAACGCGAACATCTTGATTTACTTGGCAGCCATGTCAGGATGAACGACATGCCTTCGGAGTAACAGTAACAGGATGATATTTGTACTCACATATCTGCCCTACACGGCCCGGAATGTCACGGTCACGTTATCATGACTCACAGATCTGCCTCTGAGGTTGGCACCCCTACACGGCCCGGAACGTCACGGTCATGTTGATATTCCTCACAGATCTGCCCTGAGGTTGGCAACCCTGCACATCCCGGAACGTCACGGTCACGTTATCATGACTCACTGATCTGCCCCTGATGTTGGCAACCCTGCTCGGCCCCGGAACGTCCCTTATATGAAGGTTTTACTCACAGATCTGCCCCTGAGGTTGGCAACCCTGCACGGCCCGGAACGTCACGGTCACGTTATCATGACTCACAGATCTGCCTCTGAGGTTGGCAACCCTGCACGGCCCTGTAACGTCACGGTCACGTTATCATGACTTACAAATCTGCCCCTGAGGTTGGCAACCCTGCACGGCCCCAGAACGCCCCTTATATGAAGGTTTTACTCACAGATCTGCCTCTGAGGTTGGCAACCCTGCACGGCCTCGAAACGTCCCTTACATGAAGGTTTTATTCACAGATCTGCCTCTGAGGTTGGCAACTCTGCACAGCACGGAACGTCACGGTCACGTTATCATGACTCACAGATCTTCCCCTGAGGTTGGCAACCCTGCACAGCCTCGGAACGTCCCTTATATGAAGGTTTCACTCACAGATCTGCCCCTGAGGTTGGCAACCCTGCACGGCCCGGAACGTCCCTTACATGAAGGATTTACTCACAGATCTGCCTCTGAGGTTGGCAACCCTGCACGGCCCGGAACGTCCCTTATATGAAGGTTTTACTCACAGATCTGCCCCTGAGGTTGGCAACCCTGCACGGCAGGACGGCACGGCCCCGGAGCGTCACGGTCACGTTGGTGCTGAGGTCGGGCAGAAACTCCGGACCGCGTGACCCCGGGAATTGTGCGGCCGTCGCCCATGCGCTGTGCTCCCAGTCCGTTTCTTCCGTCCAGTCGCCTGCTGCGAGGGACACTGAAACTATCACTTATCAACTTCTAGATCATTGCATGAGTTGGCGTCAATAAAAGTTCGTGATTTCAGTTTGGAGAAGACTTCTTCTATTCTTGACGCCATGTACATTGCATTACGCCCCTATTCTTCTTATCTAGTCAATTATTTATTAATGAAGTGCGACTCCTCAAACGACGACGCTTTGTGAATCGCATTAACCCACTCTTCCGCCTAAAAAGTATTTTGATTTACCAATGTGATTCTACTTTTCAATTAATGACGAGTTGCAAATTTTTTTCCATCACCGTTCTACCTTAATATTCTCTGCAAATATATATGTGTTGTTTCTTAACTGATTATGTCTAGTAAAAAAATTCATCACATCACTCCATTATCCTAAAAGTCTATGCATTCACTAATGAGGTACACCCGCAACTCAATGTCTTCATTTGAACATCTAACAAGTCTTTGTATTTTAGGTTGATTTACAACTCAATTAATTATGCCCATATAATTTCATCACTTTATATATGTGATAATGTATAGTAATTTTATTTGCTTAAAAATTGTTTGCTGTCTCCTGCAGAGTGATCAACGGAAATTTTCTGATTTATAACTCAATAAAATAGTACTAGTATAGTTACCATTACAATATAGCTTTTGTTGAACAAGACATTACCTGAATTTTTCTATCACTTAGTTTTAAAGATGACAATGGACAAATAACGGCCCTCATTGTCAATGCATTTAAATAGCCGATTTTCAAAGTTCCGTTCAACAGAATGCATTGACGATGGAGGCCGTCATTCGTCCAAGGTTATCTTTAAACTAAGTGATACAAAAATTGAGGTAATGTTTTTTTTTCATTTATATTGTAATGATATCTTTACTAGTTCTTTTTAGCGAATTTTCTCATTTATGGAAAAATACGCGCTATTGTGCTGGTCATGTCCGTCCGTGACTTCACGGACGGACGCGAAAATGCGTTAGCTGTCACTCACTGCAGTGAGTACTGATCTAATTTTTTCAACGAGCTGTAAAATCAGGAAGTTTCCAAGAATCACCATGTATAAATGTTTTTAAGATGGAGTCTTTAGTTTTTCAAAGCAAGTCATATTATTGATTATTTAAGCCACCATCAGATTAATGATACAAAACGATGGAATGCCATGTCATTTCCTTTTTGACAACATTAATTATAGATCTCTGCTGTGATCGGGGATAATTTTCTAAACGTGTTCATCGTCTATGAAGAAATTTAGAGTTGTAATGAGAAATTCATTTTATTAACCGAGATATTTGGAACGATAACGCTTTTCCCTAAATAGCTTGTATCTATTTATACATTTTGAATATGACGTTTGGAATTAATATTTTATTTGTTGGCCACTGGTGGCGCAAACTCGGTTGGATCGTTATATAGTTGATTTCTATATCCAAGATTCCAACTCTTACTTTTTAAATTCAAAATATTCGAACAAGGCCTGAATGAGGAAAAAATGAAATTTCCCACGTAATTTTTTCACTAAACTCAATACTTTGTGCATGTATGTGAACTTATTTCAATATCTTTCAAAGCAGCTGCAAGGAACAAATATTTCTCTACGACTTCTATGAAAACACTCTGCACTGTATTGGACTTTGCCAACAATTATAGAGAATCAATCATTGGTGCAGCAAAGCTGTGGCGGGATTGCCCAACTTCCTTGATCTACAAGTTATATTTCCTTGAAGCTCGAGCACGGCGGCGGTAAAACCACCACCAGCCTAGCTATCAAACTAGTGTTAGTTGAAGACGTCCTGTGTTTCCTCGCAATAAAGAAGTTTAAACAATAAATATTAGTCAGTTAAATTAGTTAGTTAACAGCTAAACATATGTAATCACAGGTATTTGAATAATGATATCATTAATGAAGTGGATGGTTTAAAAATAGATAGCAGGCTGTCAAAATTTCAGAGCATGAATGATACATGACGGCGGCATGTGATAGATAATATAGTTCAAAAATTAACATATATCTTCTGAAAAATTTGCAATTCATAGATGCAATTTAGACGATGAAACTGAATCGCATTGACCTGAAACCATCCATAATTATAGAAATAAGAACTTACCTCTTGTTTATGGTGGGAACTAATCTATTCCGGTTTTATTAGAAATCGCTGCAGGTTACTGCAGGTTACTGCAGGTTACTGAAATCAGAAGTTTCTGAATAATGGTATCATTAATGAAGTGGGTGGTTTAAACATAAATAACGTGTTGTCCTAATTTCAGACCACAATGTATCATACGTGACCGTGGTAAGTGATAGATGATTTTAGTAAATTCATCAAATAACACACATTTTGTGAAAATTTTTACCGTACAGTGATGCAATTTAGAAGATGAAACTAGTTAGCATATAGCTGAAACCATTATTATTTATTGAAATACGAGCTTACCTTAGGTCTATGGGTGAGAACTAATCTATTCCGGTTATATTTGGAGGAGCAGCAGATTACTTCCCTCACTAACCTTCATCTGCCTCCGCTGGTCGCATCTCGGCAGGGTTCAAGCTGCATATAAGTTTTCATTTTTAAAACAACCGCATCACAAGAAAAGTTACAATTTTGCCGCAAAATCACCACCTAACACTTTTCATCTTTAAGCGGTAAATTTAAATCCTATCAAGAGGCGGAATCACTCAATGCAACTCACGATTGAAAACTTTTAGCCTGCCTAGCAATCTCTTTTGGCAAGGCATCAGCGATCTCTTTCAAAAGTTGGGGCACCAGAAGCGTTTTAGTCAGTTTTCAGAGGGACTTGAACACGAGCATTTTATTTCCGTTGCCAAGTTGCATCAAGTATTTCGATTGGATGCCGCCTGATAAGCTCAGTCATCGCTGGCCCGTAACGTGGTTTGCGTGATAGCCCTAAGCACTTCAGAAGCCGTCTAAAGTTTCAAGAGTTTCGTTAGATCCATTACGTTCGCCGTCAGACTCTCATGAGCCGTGCGCATGACGTCCATTTAACTCTATAACGATATCCAGTCTTCTAGAAACTATGCGCATTTCAGATCTCTCTTGGAAAACTGCTGACATCCGATTCGAGCCTCAGATTTTTAGACGGTAGCACTATAAATTAGCTCATAAAATTCAAAATAGAATTTATATTTTGAATTTATAATTTATAGAATAGCACTATAAATTAGTTCATTCAATTCAAAAGTTAAGCTTGTGCCTTCATACACGATGGTAAATATTATAATACAATTATTCATGTTCTTCCGTGCATCCATGAATAATTGTGAAACAAAATATTTTGCCATTACCAAAACAACAGCCTGATTTTTCGTCAAGAACTAAAAGCAATCACAATCATATTCATTAAATCATTAAATGTTTATTTACAATTTATGGAGGTGTGACCGGACATTCCTTACGTTAGCTCCGACAGATGACCGCCCAAAGTTTGCACGTCGGCCACGAAATTATAAAAAAACTATTTAAAATGATTGACAATGCAATCACCACTTTCCAGTTCACCACTACAGTTTAAAACACTTTTAATCCAATGTGGGCCAAAAATGCCAAAAAATGGCACTTTAAAGTGGGCACTCCACAGCTACAATTAAAAGAGGCACATTGTTGGCAAATAATACCCCGCTCAGTCAAGGAGAGGCAACACGGAGAGGCTATAAGCAGTAATGCAAGATCGGCATTTATTAGCTATTGCTGCATTTAATATAGCGATCAGAGCTGCAACTTCAATGATCGGCTATCAGGACTGTCTCTCTCCTGAAAGGAATATCGCCCTCGTCACCTATCTCTTTGCGAAAATCTTCCCTGAAAGGGACGAAAGTCTAAATTATCCAACCAGCTTTGCTGAAAATTCATACATGTATTATTTATCTCTAAGCTTAAATAAATTGAAATCAGTAAAAATGGTATAAAAAGACCATGAACAATTTACATTCGTCCACGGAGGACTTCCGAAATTGTTCTGCGAAGGCTCCTTTTTTATAGTTCTACGAACAACTGTCAAGCGACGCCAATCACACGGCGCTGCAATCTTCCAATATTGTCGAAATAGGTTTTATCCGACCCTTTCATATTTTATACCACCTATCCATTTTATGTTGCAACCTGATATAACTCTAAGACTATAATTCTTATTCATCTCTTACTTAAAAAAAGTATTAATGATAAAATTTAATCTCTAATAGGCATTTGAATTATACTGAATTATATAATATAGTGAATTATGGCTCAAGTTGAATAGTTGAATCACTTGATCATTGCCGGGCCTAGAAAGATAAGAAAAAATCTGTTTTTGATTGGGCAGCGATCTCTGAGGTGAGAAGCCCGCCACTTCGTCCTACAGATCAATGAGTAAACTCGAACCGAATTTTGAACTCGTTTCTTTCTAATTTTCTATTTATTGTTAACAGCAGATCATTTAATTTATATTCACTGAAAAATAATGCATAAAATTAAGAGTTAATTGAAAAAAATGATCATTAGCGTCCGATAAGTGTTGTTATGAAATAATTCAAAACATGATTCAAAATTTGAAATGCTTCGAACTTTACACATTTAAATTTTAGCTATCTCAAATGCACTAGTTATTCCAAGTTCGAGAAGTTTTTCAAAAATTATTTACGAGACAGAAAACTCATGTGGAAAATCCGATGTCATGTGGAGGAAGAGGATGCACAGTATGCTGAACTGCTCAGTTCTCTGGCATGGATGCACTTGAAAGATTCATGCAAAAGCTTCATACGGATCGAGTTCACTCGAGAGGACGACAAGCCTTGGTCCTGAGCATTGCCTCTGACGTGCGGCAAACAGATGGAAATTGCTGCGACGGATCACTAGGAAAAAGACTCTCCGAACGCGGCACTCGCAAATGTTTTCCGGAGATTTTTGGCTGCAACGGAGCTATAAAGTCATGTTGGCCGGCAAGCTCAAAAACATAACTCAGTACTCACTGCAGTGAGTGACAGAGAGCGCATTTTCTCGTAGACGAAAACGTGAAGTCACGGACGGACAGACAGACGGACAGACATACGGATAGACGGACATGGCGAGAACAATAGCACATTTTTTCATAAATGAGAAAATGCGGTAAAAACCTTGAAACTCAGTTAAAATATCTTTTGAACGATTTTCGAGCAATTTTTACATATATGTCATTAATTCGTGGACCTTTTGGATAATGCAAGAATATTGCGAGTTTACGCTTCTTAATGGTGTATCTCACTCGTCCAATAATTCTTACATTAATTTAATGCTTGTGCTCTAAACTGTAGAAAAATTGTCGATTTTAAAATCTTTACTGTGGTTACAAAAAAAATTTGTTATTGTTTTCCTAATACCAGCAATAAAATGATAATAAAGTTCTTTGAATGAAGTTTATGTTCTCCATATTATATTGGCTTCTTCATATAATCGACTAAATTGTGAAAATGTCTAAATTGTGAAATTGTGAAAAATGTCAATAATTGTGCCCTAGTAACTCATTAAAAAAGTATTTTGTAGGGAATGTTAGGCCAAGGCATGAACTATGAACGTTTCAAACAAACTTGCTCATTAGAAAAATACATGTTAATTATGACCTCCAAGTGTTAACAGAGAAACTATATACCGACCACTGCAGAACTGTTCTGAGGGCCATCATTCATATCCCCGTATGTTTCTGACAGGTGATCAATATTCGTATCCATTTATTCTAGTCCGTGATTGGAAATGTTGAAGTTGATTAAGTTACCGAGGTTGAGTAATGAATGATCTTGAGTCTCAGATTTTAAATTCAGATCGGAAAATTTCATTAAGCATGCTTGAACTAAATTACTCACCAGCCTGAAATATATGTTATTGATACTCACGTAACCTGATACACTCTCATTACCAATGAATACACATTTATTGTCTATACATGCTTCAAGTTCATAAAATGGATTAAAAGCTAAGTTGGGCTCAGTTGGATTTTGACGAAAAAAATCGTTCATGCTTTTTTCACTATTGGAATGAATTGAATGCTTGGTGTTGGAGTTGAACAAATTAAACATTTATTATACAGATCGGAAACACATTACTAAAAAAATAAAGTTATAAATAGACGTATAAATAAAACGACGTTACTGGTGCCTTGTTAAGTTTTTTCCTTAAATCCGATCATCTCCTGTTGCCCAACATTTTTCAGCAGGTTAAATTCAATTGAAAATACAACACCGTCGAGAAATGCAATTTTACTGGGGCCAGGAGAACGCCTGATCGAAATCGTCGGGTATTATTTTTCTAAGGCTTCCAAGCTGACATTGATCGCTGCACTGTTTTTCGATGGCCGAAAATCTATCTCTAAAAATCGTTGTTCTGAATATAACGGAATAATGTATGCTCATCTAATTCATTTGTATTGCAAAATACACAATTTTGCTAAATTATAATTTAAAGCTGACGAGTCCATTGAACGGCAAGAAGAAATTTGATATATTATAAAAAACATATTTGTTATACTTGCATCCGTTAATATGAATTGAATTCATGTACACATCTTTAGGAATATTCCTGGAATGTTTTAGACTAATGGTTTAACCTATGGTTTTTATTGTAAAATTCGATTATCGAATTTACTTTTTCACTTTTTAATCTACTTGTTACTTTACTTTTATTGTAAAATTAGTTTGTTTTCAATGGTTAATGATCATGAGAAGAAAACACGTTTTTCGGTGATGATTTCACTTGATGTGCTTCGTACACTTGAAATATGACATCAGCCCAAAAGTTTCACTTGCCGTAGAAGTTAACTAATAATTCATTTTCATTTATAAATAATTCATTTCAGTTGATAATAATAATTCATTTCAGTTAACTAATAATTCATACTGGTTTTCATTGCATGAAAACCAGTAATTGCATGATAGTAATTAAAATAATAATAATAATGATAAATACATATAGTTAATTATCGTTTCCATTCTGTTCGGAGTAAGTGGCTGCGTTGTTCTAACAAACTGAATTGTTTGCATTACATCATTCACTCACTTTATGTCGCAACACATTTGTTGCCCTTTGCACCGAATTTTACATGTTTTCTACATAAGCCAATATTCACTTATCTATACCATTTTTGTTTTCATCATGTTGAAAATTCCTATCACCCTTCTGCTTCTTGAATATGGCAGAATGCTTGAGAATTTTCTCCGAAATGACACGATACATTTTACCTAGCCCTCTACCAATGTCCGTTTCAACAAGAAAAGACACTTCAAAAATGTTCCGAGAGCGTTGCACTTGACCGTAGGAATGGAATTGTAGGATTCTTGAGAGATGTTTTTTTATCCAAACGCAAACTGCAGTTCTGCTCCTAAGTATTTTAAATTTTATCCAAAAATGACACGAACGGATGTCCGAAAATACTGGCGCCTCATCGAAAAAACTGTGTAGCTTATTTTATTCAGATTTCAACAGGTGTAGTTTAGGGAAAAACCACAAAGCAAGGCACGTAAATTCAGATCTACAGCGACAATGGTTCTTCACTTTATTTTGCAAAATTTGG